CCTTCATCTGTGGCAAGTGTAGAAGTGTTTGTTCCAAATTGAATCGACAACAAAATGTGGGTTATTTTTCCTTACTATTATTAGTGATCATGTTTATATGGTCTATAATCACCGCACAAACAACATGTCACTAAGACAAATGATAATGTTTGATCGTAGTGTCGTACACAAAAAACTGAACTGCTTCCTCCATTATACTTAAAACTTTTTTTGGTCGTTTTCCGGCAAATTTCCAACTTTGGAGGGAGGGTCGCTTGGTTTTCAGGGGGGCAACGGAGAGGGGGATTCAAAAGAAAGAATAGATAACAGGGGGGGAGTGGGAGGAGTAAGGTATATTTTATCGTTACATAACCGGAATCTTCAAAGCCTCAGGCGACGAATAATGACCCTTTTAGGACCCTCTGAGAGGGTCCCAAAGGAGGGGGGAATTCAAGTTGACGGTTAACACTTAAATATGTTAAGTCTTTTGACGGTTGACGCTTAAATTTTAGGTCATTTGACTCTTGACGGTTAATTTTTTTTTAATATCTTTCTTAAAAAGAACTAAACGCGCGAATTGTTCTGTAATTGTTCATAATAAGGCCTTTTTTAAGTAATGGTTAATTTATAACACCTCTTGTGAATAAATAACTAACGTTTTATGGCACCGGAAGTCTTTCCTCACCGGAAGTCAGTTCTGTCGCTAACCAGTTTTAATCGCGACTAGTAGTTAAAGGTCTTACATAAATACATTTTTTTTTTTAAATATGAAAACAACAGAACTTAATCCCAATCAAAGCAATCGTTTGGTTCTTGATTAAGGATATCTGAGACATTTGACGTTTATCATTGGCTTGCTTATTTAGCGGTTGAAGGGAAAAATATTGCGTTTTTAATGGTTGACAGTTAATTTGTTAGCCGTTTGAAGGTTGACGGTTAAACCCATTGAGACCCTCAGTCTAAGGTTAATCTTCGATTGCATGAAACGAAACTTTGGGTGTCTGAAAAAACTGATTTTTATTTCATAAATACGCATGCTGATCATTTGTTATTCGAAACAACTCAATTAACATAACAGGAACATCCTGTCCGAGCTTTATTTATTAGTTTTTTATTAGGAGAAAATTTGAAAGGAATAACTGACTTATTTTATCTCGTTTTCACCTTTGATTTGAATTGTGAATAAACAGTTGTGTTATGTTATACGGGCCATCTATTTATGGTGTTTGATAACTCTATTTGACAAAATGAGATCCACCATGCCTTTGACGTAATAAATTTCATGACCTACACACAGATTCAGTCGTGGACCGTTTGAAGATCGTTTGCATCATTATGTTCATGATGTCTGCATGTACTTGCATGGGCAGGTCCCCATTATCAATGCGACGACTCGAGCGTTTTCTTCGAAACGAGAAAAGGTGAGGGCTTGAGAAAATTCGAGCTAGTGGCAAGAGGTATGTGACAGTTCTCAATGCAGATGCAAAATTGCACGGCAATCAGGTTGATTTTACAGGTTTGATTTTTATATTATTACTTTAATTTCACCAGGTCGCACTGGACCTCAAGGTCCACCAGGCCCTCGCGGTTTTCCTGGACCAGCAGATGCCCAGGGACCTCCCGGTAGAAAAGGAAGAAAAGGAACGAGAGGGCCACCAGGTCCCCAAGGGAAGCGCGGAGTTCAAGGACTATCAGGACCCCGTGGAAAAACAACAGCTTCAAAGATGGGAAGCGATGGGCCCCAGTTAGGACAGATTTTCGTATGTTTCACTTCATTATTTAATCTTCAGTTAGTTGTGATAAAGATTGGTGTTATTTAGGTTGCCTTATTTACCTATCATTCAAATCGTATATCGAGTTATTCATACAAGCGGAAGCATTTGAGCCCCTCCCCGGAGCAATTTTGTGTGTAAATTAAAAGATAAATTGTCAATGTCTTATCAGCAATAATCCCAAGCCTTCATTGAGAGTGATGCGTACGGTAAGTTTACAAAGTACTCGAAAAGCAAGAGTTGCTTCATCCTTGCCATATAAGGTCAAATGGTATTTGCTAAGGTCAACCAACCAGAATTAGAAATACAAATTATACGGCAAAAATAATAATTTGACATAATGATGATGACTACGATAGCGCAATGGGGATTGGTAAGGACTGGCGCGCACGCTTAGTTGGAAAGGAAGTTGGTTGGCGTTCCATCGTTGTGGCTGGATCCTGTAAGACTCCATCTACTTGGTTGGTGTCTCTTGAAGATAATTAACCATTGGTTCATGCTTTAGCGTGCACTATCGAGTTATGGAGCACGAGGGAAGTTTGGAGAGTACGAAAAAAGCGTAAGAGTTGCCCTAGGCGATAGCCGAGGACAACTCTAGCTTCTTGAGTGCTCTCCAAACTTCCCACGTGCTCCATAACTCGATAGTGCACAGCTGAAAGCATGAACCAATTTTTTAGAACATAGCCGGTGGAATTGTGCATCAAATCCGACGCGAAAAACGGGCAACAATATTAATTGAAGCGAATCGTGACGGCACTAATGCTGAGTCTCCTTTTCCGTTGTTTTCTCTGTTTCTACCTCATATAAGAATTCTAACCCAAGGGAAAAGGTCGAAAGATTGTCTTTGTTTTCGGACAAGTAGGCCGAGTCTCTGTTTGTATCCATTATTGTCGCCAAATATATTATTTTTCCCCGCGCTAACAATGGCCGCTCGCGCGAAGAAAAATATCTGGCGATGCAATTTGCTGACGCTCTCAGCGTGCACTATCGGGATTTTGAGCACGCGTACGTATATTGAATTTAATTGCGTGGTTCTGCTAGCTATGTTCTAAAAACGTGTTAATGCTAACTGCATGAAAATGTACATCAACTCAAACATTCAATATGATCATTAGTGAATCTTCTTCAAGTGATGATGTACTTTCAAATCTAACATAGTAAACTTTTTGTGTTGATAGTAATTATATCTGCTCTGAGAAGCGCTGGTGTAAAATAGTCGTCTTTGAGTGAATATAAAATTATTTATCGTGTGTCCCATTTTTCAGGAAGATCATATTTTATTACAAAACCTCCCTCTTTGACGGTTAAGGAAAATAAAAAGGCGATATTATCCTGTAAGGCATTTGGGTTTCCAAAGCCCATAATAACGTGGTATAAAAATGGACGAGCGATTGAGCACGAGAGGAAACAATTTGAAGAAGGAAACCTAAATTAAGAAACATCCTTTTTGAAGATCGCGGTCTCAATACCTGCATCGCGGAGAATATATCGGGTAGAGTTAAAATATCTGCAAATGTCACAGTACAAGGTATGTTGAATGATTAACTTACACTTCAATTCATTCGCTAATAGATATTAAACGTAAAGTGTAATGTTGTGTTCGATGCGTTCTGAAAAAGCAGTCTTCCACCAGATACACGAACATATGGTGGACACGAGCCTGTAACCGAACAATCGATCAGCTTACAGGATGAATCACAGCACTGAAATGCACTTCTGAAAGTTAAGAATGACATCCTACTCAATATGAATAAACAGCATGTAACTTTTCTACTGCTACTCGATCTTAATGCTGCTTTCGATACAGTCGAGTACAATATCTTGCAGAAGGTACTCAATACACAGGGACTTGGGTTGTCCAAGTGGCTTCGATCGTATTTATCAGGGCGAAGTCAGAGTATATCAGTTCGTGGGTGTCTGTCGGCGGAGAGGTTTTGATTTGAACTGCGGAGTTCCTCAAGGCTCCTGTTTAGGAACGCTCTTGTTTGCCATCTAGAGGAGCTCGTTACTTGAGTCGTCGAAATTATCCTCCATCTGTCCACTGCAACACAGATTATACCTAACTTTACATCTCTTTGTATTAAGGCGATCAGGTCTTCGATGCGTGAGAATAAACTATTGCTGAACAAAAAAAAACTGAGTTTCTGTTAATTGGCACGAAGGAGCAGCTCTCCAAAGTTAATATTGGACACATTAAAGTTGGCAAAGTAAATATAGCTCCACACTCTACTTTTAAAAACCTTAGAGTCTGGTTTGACTCAAACCCATCTATGGTTGATCACATCAGCAAGAATCGTTCTGCAGCGTTTTATTATCTATATAACATTACAAGAATTAGAAAGTATCTAATTAAAGAATGCACGGAGACACCCATATTTGCTTTTATATCTAGCCGCCTGGACTATTGTAACAGCCTTCTATTTGGAGCTCCCTTAATGCCATCTACACGAATTACAGAGAGTTCAGAATGCAGCCGCACGTCTCATATTCCAGTAGCGAAGATTTTGTCACATCACACCTCTGCTCAAGTGAATACACTGGCTGCCTAAAAAATATCGCATAGCTTTTAATATTTTATTAATTACTTTTCAAACAATACATGGTTTTTTTTCCGGCCTACATAAGTGAGCTAATTTCTGTTAGAGACACCGGAAGATATAATTTATGTTCCAAAGACGGCTTACTCCCTGCTCCGTGCAAGGGCAAAACACTCGCTTCTCTCGGCGATCGTTATTTTCATGCAGCCACTCCTAAATTGTGGAAAGATCTTCCGTGTTCTATCAGAAATATCCAATCTTTGAACAGGTCTGAAAAAGGCCATTAGGCTCTTTTACTTGCAAAAGCTTTTTCATTTTTTGTTTGCATTTTTTATGTTTCTACATCTTCTTAATCAAAATTATTCTTTTTAGCTTTAGTGTCAATGTAGAAATGAAATTTTAACTTTGAAATGCGCGATTGAAAATTTTTATATTGATAATTGCGCAATATAAGCCAATAGATTATTAGCTATTATTATTAGTATTATAAGCAGTAAAAAAGTCTGTATGCCATAGACGATAAAAGCAACATGAGGCGCCGAAGCGTAGCCCATGAGTTAATCAGGGAATAAAATAGAAGCAAAATCTAACATTATAACTAAAAACAAAGATCATCGTTATAAAACCTATTAAAACCGATACTATATACATATATATAAGATTATTCTTCTTTCCAGAGTTCGCTTACGAGTTAAATTACTACTTTAAACGTGCGCGCAATATTTAGAGCTCCTGAGAGACACGCCTTCTGCATCTTCTTAAACACACCTTAAGCTTTGCTGCCTGTTAGCTTCTGTAGAGTGACATCCAAGTCCTTGGACCATCCCCCGAGTACCTCTAAGATGATATTGCATTGGTTGATCTCGTACCCTGGGTATCTCTGCTTCAATTCCCATCTGAGTGGCGCATACTTCATGGTCTGAGAAGTGTTCTTGTCGCGCTTGCTCACCCAGGGGCAGCTCATCTCCAAGGCTATCACTTGCTTATCTCTGTTGTTAACGATCCTAGCGTCCAGTCTGTTTGCTCTGAGTTCTTGGTACTCTCCATATACCGGAAAATTATTATTATCATTATTATTATCATTATCATCATTATCATTTTTATTATCATTATTATTATTATTATTATCGTCACCATTATTATTACTATTATCATTATCATTATTATCATTATTTTTCATGACAAATCATCTGTCTCTGGTTAGTTTTCGATAAGGGTTGGTTTGCCTCATGGTGATCAATGGCCTGTCAAGTTACTCAAGAGTGATTGAGGAGTGTCCAAATTTTTTTTCTTAAATCTGAAACACAAAAGCGTGTGAACAACTATGGGAAATTCGCCTCCCGTTTATTGCTATTTCTGAATCTGCAGGGGGTTTTTTAAGTGTGTTGAAGGAGTGATATTGGTCGTGGTTAAAGATCCAGGTAAACAATGTAAAGAATACCAAATGTTCATTGCTAGCAGAGACTCTTTTGCATATGATTTTGTCAGAACAGCAGATCAGAGCCCCGAGCCTCGCTTTTAAGGTGCACGCTGATATATCTTTAATGACTGAAAGTATTTTAGGGCATTCGGATGAAAAGAATATACACTTGGAAAGACCATTATTATTATTATTAGATACAATGAATATATGAAGTTCATATAGTTTGAACTGCGGTATTAAATACGTATGATGCACGATCCTTCGCGGTAGATAGCGCTATCTACTGCGAAGGATCGTGCATCATACGTATTTAATACTGCAGTTCAAAATATATGAACTTCATATATTCATTGTATCTGATTTATCATCACGGGTTTATTACGAATCAACTTAACGGCCTGCTCCCAGGTGGCCTGTTAGCTAAATTGGTAGAGCGCTGCACTAGTATCGCAGAGGTCAGTGTTTCGAATCCCGTACAGGCCTGATTTTTTTCAGGTCTGATTTTCGCTATTGCATTAATAGCGCTATCTACTGCGAAAGATCGTGCATCATACGTATTATTATTATTATTATTATTATTATTATTATTTATTGTTATTGTTATTATTATCATTATTATCATCCTTATACCAGCAATCGTGGGGCGCAAGTGTAGAAAACTGGATAGAGACGTTCTAGCACTACCCGTGCGCCTAGGCGGCCTGAGCTTGAGCAACCCATGTCACGAGGGGGCACGCGAACATGCCTTATCTATTCAGGTAACATCTTCTCTTGTCGAACATATCATTGCTCAAACTCATCAACTACCCGACGAGTCCCTCATCGCGTCAGGGCGTCAGGCTGTCAAACATGGAAAAGCTGAAGAACTTTCAGAGATTGCAGATAATCTAAAACAAATTGTTTCACGGAAGACCAAGCGAGCTCTAGAACTAACGCAAGAAAAAGGCTCCTCTGTATGGCTCACAGTTCTTCCCTTCCAAGAACATGGTTTCAACCTGAGCAAGAGAGAGTTTCGCGATGCTGTTAAACTACGCTATGATTGGCCGTTCGATGACATTCCATCAGTCTGTGCGTGTGGGGAAAACTTTACAGTAGACCACGCAATTATTTGCAAACGAGAGGGCTTTGTTATCCAACGGCGTAATGAGTTGAGAGACCTCGAGGCCGACCTTTTGAGTATAGTGTGTACCGATTTCGAAGTCGAGCCAGTTCTCCAAGACATCACTGAAGAACAACTCAGCAGAGGGTCTAATAGAGCACAAGACGCAAGATTGGACGTTCGGGCGCATGGTTTCTGGGATCCCCAGAGCTCGGCATTCTTTGATGTGAGGGTTTGCCACCCTAATGCCAAGTCATACAAGGACCAGGAACCACAGCAGATTTATCACATCCATGAAAACGACAAGAAGCGGCTGTACTCAAGGAGAGTGTTGGATGTTGAGCATGGCTCGTTTACGTCGCTTGTATTTACAACTACGGGAGGGATGGGATGGAATGCATAAGATGCCACAGCCGATTGGCCGAGCTGATAGCCGCCAAGAAAGGGGAACGATACTCGCAAACAATTTCCTAGATCCGAGCAAAGACATCCTTTGCCCTCCTTCGGTCGGCCTTAGTTTGCCTTCGAGGATCGCGGGTGAAGCGACGCGCTGCGTATGACTATAATAATTGTGACGTTGAAATCATAGCTGCCGAGGGGGCCATTGACATTGTTTAATGATTTTAGCAGCCTTGTATATAGGGTTCTAGATTTGCCATTCACCTTTCTCTTTTCTGTATAGTTTTAGATATGCCTTTACTTATCAGATTATTTGACTTTGAATCTGTTCAGATTTGACTCCTTCATTTATAGTTTTCCAAACGTTTTGACAAAAAAAAGGAGTAGATGTGAGCCGAAAGTGAGTTATTTTGGATCGTTTTTTACGCTGTTAATATTTTGTATTGTAGAAGATTATTATTATTATTATTATTATTATTATCATTATTATTATCGTCATTATTATGATTATTATCCTCCTCATCATCATTATTGTAATAACTATCATCGTTAGTATTATCGCTATCATTATCAGTGTTATCATCATTATCAAAATCATCCTTATAATCATTTTAATTATTGTTATCATTATCGTCCTTATCAATTAAACAGCTCCCTGTTGCTTTAGTAATTAATTTTTCCATCACAGTAAAGTAGACTGAACTAGCTCCCATTTTCAATTTTGTTCAATACGATTGATTTCGATTTCTTTTACTTTCCATTTGATTTTATAGTCATAAAAATCGAAATTCATCGGCTGTATCCTTGAACAAGCTTTTACAGCTCAGTATTTTACAGTGGTTAAGTAATTGGACCTAATCATTTATAACGACAAGTGATAACGATAGGTAACAGAAAGCTGTGACAAATGAACAGCATTTCTTACTATCTGTTGTTTTAGTGAATCCTCACATTGTGTCAAGTCCTACAAATAAAATACAGGTTCAGCATGTTGGTGAATCTGTTAACTTAAGTTGCTCAGCGGGTGGTACTCCTTTACCAAAAATCCAGTGGATCAAGGACGAACGACGAGTGATATCAGCAGAGCATGACGGGAATGGTGTGAAATGGGGTGAGCTCGTCAGTCATCAATTAAGGCCGAACGATGCTGGGAACTACACATGTCTATTTTATAATGAAAAGAATGCTACAGCCGTAGCGAATACAGTTTTGGGTAAGTTATTAAAATATTTTTACAGGGAATATGAAATATTCATAACTATAAATAGAAAAGTGATAGCTTTCTTTTGTTTCGAAGTAAACTCTGATCTTTTGTGCGCTCATTATCTATTCTGGTACGGAACCAAACCCCCGAACGCGAAGCTCGAGGAAAACTGTGAGAGCTAATGAGTAAGTTAACAATGCTTCTGGTATTCTACTGGGTTCTCGATCACGTCTAAATACACGGTTGTGTTTACATTTAAACATAATATGAGATAGCTCGTTTGATATAGCAGGTTTCGCCTGCTATTTCTCGGTAGAAGTTTCACTCGTAAAGTATCGCTCGTAAATTAATCTCTCGTAAAGTTCGCGGACCGACCCGTTCCCAAAACGCTCCACAAGTTTTAGTGCGGGTCTACCACTAATGGTGTTTGACCTTGTATGTATAATGGGCGTAATAGCCATCGAATTTCTTTCGCGAACATCAAGCAAGGAATTGTCCACGAAGGCAGCCATTGCCTTAAACAATGCGCTCTAGGGTTCATTCTACGCATGCGCTGTAGTGGAACTATGTTTTGTGACTGAACGCAAAAAAAGAAAAAAGCGAAGCGGAATTTATGTCTCAGGCGTTTCCTTCGGAAAGCCTGCCTAATAATGAGTATTATACTATTGATCAGTGAATGACGCGCTCTAACAGATCAATAAAGAGATGATTCGAACCTTTGAAGTTTTACACTTTTTCACAACTCCTACTCACCTTTTACAATTGAAGGACTTGTCTTACGCGTGTTTTGTGCTTTCCAGTTTTCCGCATGCTTGGTATCTCTTTGAACGAAGTCACACCTGGACCCGTTAAGTAGAAAATAAAATAACATTCTTCCTGCGAAAAAGTGTATGTACTGTGATTAAATTTAATTGAACCCATGTTTGCGTTTGAATCTGAACCAAGAGAGTGTAAACTTTATAATCTCTTGATCTGAATCGTAACTGAAGGTGATATTCCTTTTGAAACTTATTAAGCAAATGGTATCAACTGAGGTCCGTATCAGTCAATCGCTTTATCAGATTACGGCCTTTTAATGTCTCTTCCGGAATGAGAATAACCTCAAATTTATCGAAAGATTGATTCGTGAAAAATTAATATACCAGCAACCTGTCATAAAAGCATTCAAAATATATAACTTAGGATTATGCAATGCATTTTTTTTACTATTAGGATATGTCTAGTGTGGGGTATTTGTATCTATCACGTAATTCGCATTCTTTACTTGTGTAATTAATCTTTATTCTATATATTCAATAGTTTTCTTCCCCTTTTTCTCGCACCTTGCGTCCGTATATAATGAAGGATTTGGAAACGGCGAGGAAGAAGTGAGGTGAAGGTTTGTGTGTTACGAGCGAAGAGCGTGGAAAGATTTGAGGGAACGGAGACTCGCCACAATATCATTTCTGACAATTTCATTCAGGAAAATCGTTCCACTTCACGATAGAAAATCATTTGGGGGGGAACGGGTATGCAAATAATCTACCAGACTGTGAGCTAAAGGGAGATATGATAGTAACTAATTCAACAACAAGTCTATGAGCGAGTCAAGTTACGAGAAGTATGAGCGAGTCAAGTTACAAGAAGCAAAAAGTTGGAAACTGCAAAGTTGTCAGAAGACAAAGGAAAGTTCAAGCGAAGGAAACGAGCAAAGTTGAGAACTGGTGAGACGGGAACCTGGTTGGAGAAAGGGGAGTTTGGTTTGGCAGGGCATAGTTTGTTGGTGGAGCGTGGTGAGCTGTGGACAAGACAAGAACACGGACGCGGGCGTAAGGTGAAACCTAACCGAACTGAACTGAAAAAAAAAAAACCCTGCCTTTTTATCTTAATAATGCTCTTGTAAATATAGTTAGCGCATTCTAGCTTTAAATTATTACGTTCTTGTAAATTCTTGTAAAGCAATTTAGGTAAATAATTCAGTAATTAGTAATTCAGTAATTCAGTAATTTAGTAATTTAGTTTATTGTTTTTTTTTGTTGTTGTCGTTTGAAATTGTTAATTACCATATTGTCTTACTTAGAGTAATAAATATTCCTAAGCCCACGTTTAGTTGTCTTGTAGGCCTGTCTTCTCAGGCCTATTTATGTTTCGTGTTTTGTGTATGCTGGAGGGCGACCACCTCTGTGGGGCGGAATCGTCACACAAACCTTGCCAAAAAGAAAAAAAAAAACAAAAATCAACGAAAAAAAAGAGAAGCGGACATCAACTAACATTGAACCCTTCTAGCTTTGTTTGCCTGTTGTTTCACGTGAATCACTCACACCGGTTCGGATATCCCCAAAATTCTAATGTTATATCGTTTGCTTAGCTGCTCGTTAGTCACAAGGTTATGGTCACTTATTCAGGTAATCAAATGACCCCTATGATTGAAAGAAAATTTGGATCTAAGACGAAAATGATTTTGTACTCGAACGGCGAACAACAGTGACAAAGAAAAGGCTTTAAACGTTCAATCGGCTCAGTTTTTTTCAATTTCATAGGATTGTCTGGGAACAAAGGAAATATTGAGCGCCACTAACCTCAAGAGGCCAAACAAAAACGAAAAGAAGGAAGTAAGGTAGTCAGGAGAAAGGATTGGCCAATTAAAAGCTTCTCCTCGCGAGTTTTGGCCCACTGATATTCCCCACTAAAAATTTCGTTGAACAAAAACATTCTATGTTCCAGACAATGGAATCAAAGTTCAATGAAAATGTGGTTTCCATTGCACTTTACCCTGATTCAGTTTTCATTATTTATGTATAGTATTTACTTTGTCTCTTCGCAGAACTGTTGTTAAGAAAATTATTCCATAATTTTCAAGAAAACAGACCCTCTACTAAGCAACTCACAGAAACGGAAAACAAAGCCTATTGTCCTTGACACGGAGTCAAAGGAAACGAGCCGTGATCTTGCGACGCAGAATAACTCCTGATTGTGAAACAGCCATATTGCTGCAAATCACCTTGACTCACCTTGCAGAGTTTGCCGGAAAGACATAACCGCCGAATGTCAAGTGACAGTACAAGACATAGGTAGCTTTTTAAGAACCAAATACGCTCAATAGGAACTTTGAAACGATGGAGATTTTTTTGGATATGTAGCGTTTTTTTTCTTCTCGAAGACGTAACAGGCAGGAAAGGTATTTCTATCGACCAAGGTAAGAGCTGACTAGAGAGTGAAAAATATCCAACAGTAACCTGCTTTTGATGAAGCTTTCTTTCAAGTTTTGTGTTTTTTTTTGCTCTTCCTTTCGGGTTGTCTTGTATACGTCTTAGCAACTATTCTTGTAAATTTTAATGCTTCTTGCTTTCTTTCTGTTGTTTCTGTGTGTGTAAATTCAAGCAATCCTTCTCCTGCTGTAACTCACTCGCTTTCGCTCATTCAACAACGCTGTTACTCAGCTCGAACTGTTGTGCTGAACGACGAAAGAGTAAATTGAATATGGACGACCACTGAGACCTATTTCGTAAAAATTCCTAGGATAATCATTAGCAAATCGTTTTCTTATCGCAATATCCCCTTGCTTATCGGCTTGTGGTAAATATTATAGGAATTCAAGCGTGTTTGCAAGAACAGTTGAAAGGAAATTTAGCTTACAGCCGTTTTTTATATCCATGCGAGACTTGATTGTTGCTTCACATTCTTGTGAGATACAACGGTTTCCTGGGCAATACCGGTCAATACCACTCCCGCCACTTACCTCACTTGGTTTCACTTTTACGATCGTTTTCATAATTTAAAACTATAGTAGTACCAGAATTCTTATTGATGATATAGACGCCGCTCTTATAGGCATTCAAAAATGAATAGATAAATAACTCAAGTACAAATTTTACTAGATGACTTCAGTTAAAGGAGCAAGCAAAGGTTTCCATAAAAGCGTAGTGACTCTTGATATTTTTGAATATCAAGAGCTTTCATAAGATAGTTTATGCGCTTCTCTCAAAGAATTAGTTCCTGTATAGTGCGTATATCGAGTTTTGGATTCATACGGGAAGTTTGGAGAGCGCGAGAGAAGCGTAATTCTAGCTTTTCGAACCCATGTAATCTTGTCTACCCAAAAACTATAAATGAATGACATAGCAAAAACGACCGAGAAATAATTCGGGACTAAATCTTTATTCAACGAATTGCGTAAATTTTCTTTTCAAAAGCGAAAAACGAAGGAATTTCTTATATGTGCGAGACTGCGATGTTGATTCAGTATGCTTGAATCGTTCTTTTGATTATTAGAATTCGCAGTCAGAAAATTATATATGTTTGTGCTACAATTTTGAAATGCTGTTATTGTACGGTTTTAAAAATAAAATCTATTACTTTTGGGAAATTACTTTTGGGAAATATCAACACTTAAAAATGATATCAACTGTTCGAAAAACGAAGCGAAAACCGTACAAATTCCCTACCTTTAGAAGACCCATGTCAAGCTATTGATTACCCTGCTTGAAATGTTGTGTACTAGAATATACGACAAGAATATTGCGTAGCTTTGTGTTGAAAATTCTAACATTACTTTTGGGACATATCATCCCTTCAAAATAATATTTGCTGCCCTAATAAAGAGATCCCAGCGTCACAAAACCTTAGTTGAAGTAAAAAAAACTCATGATCAGTTTCGTTTTTAGCCATAATTTGCATCACATTTGGGAATGAATTAAGTATCGTCAACTCCAAAACTAATTTCTTTGCTTGAAAGAGCCACATGCTCATTTTATTTCAAAACGAGAATAATTTGGAGCTCTTACTTTGAGCTCCAAAATGACTATCTCAATCGGGATGGAACAGGAAAACAACTTTCAGAGTTTTAAAACCTCGCGGCTAAACTCGACGGGAACCGTCAGCCAAAGTGAAAGTGCACACTTCATGTTATGGATGGAAGACTGTGCGCATATAAGGATTTTTTTTCATAGTAGCTCCGAAGGAATTAGGTAGGACTTGCGCTCGCGCTACGTTTCCATCTGAGCCATCACGGTGAAAATCTCTATGGACATTCGGCCGGGTTCATAAATATTTCGTATGCAGTTGTACTTTTCTACGAAGTTCCCGTACAATTTAATGAAGAGTTCGGCAAAGCAGTAAAGATGACTTTTCCGTTCCCTCCTGGTTTAGATGGACCTTTTCGAACTCTAACTGAAAAGGAAGATACACAAAATTAGATTCATTTCGGAAATCAATGGACATTTATCTTTTAAAAGTGACGAATTTAGCTTCAGAGCTAACTGTACTTCGATTCCCAAACGCAATATCAATTTAGGCAGGAAAATAATTTCAAAAATTTGCTAGCGTCAAGTGAGGATTTGCAACTCTTGGTCCCACCTTTCGGCCGGTAAATACTGTTGTTCGACATGGTGAAATTATTGCGCAAGTCTGTTGTACTAAAAAAAAATAACTCGCACGTTTTTTTGCCTCTACACAACACATTAAGCACTTCTTTAGGTAAAGCCTTGGTCTTAAAATACTTCTTGGTCATTTTCCTTGCTTTTTATCACAGTACTAGTTTTCGAGTAGCTCGCTATCACGTCACGAGTATTGCAAAACACTGCTCCTCGAGTAATTCCTGCGCCTGCATGCATTCGATTTCAAACCTCGATATACGCACCCTTAACATAAACCAGTTAGTAAAAAGTAAGTACATCGAACAACGTCTTCGTCAGACATGAGAGATTCGTTGGTAATTTACATAAGCAAATAAATTATTGACTCTCTGTTAATACTCATAACATAATTCCTCAGCGAGAGTTGCTGAAAGCAACCCCATTATCAGCATAATGCATATCGTCTATGATCAACAAACCTTCCTGCTTTAAGTATAATACCATAGATGGTGATAAGGTAAATAAAGATTTTATTCGGTCCCGTCACGATCACATGGGGTAGTTCAGACTGTACTGAGGTAGAGATACAGATACATGGGTATTTTAGGTACATCTGAGGAAGGACTGGCCGAACAGATTTGTTAAAATATTTTTTCTATTCATTTAATTTTACAAATAAATAGCCTCCACGTAATTCATTTTGATACACTTAAGTTATATCAGGACAGTTGATTTCTTGTTAAAAATTAGCAAGTACGAATGACATATGAGACAGGTCAGACAAACTCATGATACAAGCGTCTTGATTTGATTCTACAGTGTCTGAGAACTGTGACCGTCAATTAAAAAAGATCTACACTAAGACGAATTTTCAACGGCGAGTTGGCCATGAAGTCCTCTGCACTTCGCTTTTACCGGTTAATCTGAATATCACAACGTATGGCAGTTAGAGGACGATTTATTTCGTCTCGTAAGCTGAAAAGACTTGGGTAAGTTTTCATTTTATTCACTCTCGTTGGCTTTTTTATTTGGCGTTACATTCTAAAGTCTTCACCACAATGGTTAAGAAAAAGCATCCTACCAGAAACTGGCACAACAACTCCAAAGCCTCTCATGGGTGCAGTAAACGTTCATAAATGGCGGAATATGTGTGGTTCTGACATCTCACAGCTGAGGGAATCAATGCTTTTTCCTCATCTTCCGGACGAACAGTTTGAGACATTCATCGCTGAGTTTAAAATTCAAGACAACACTGAACACTACGGTCAACGTATTTTTGGCTTTTTATACCCACCTAGCAGCATGTCTTACCATTTTGGCATAGCTTCTGATGATACATCTGAGTTTTGGCTGAGTTTGAGTGAGAATCCACATGGAAAAGAGTTGAGAGCAAAAGTGTTTTCAAATAATACATCTGCGTGGACTACTGAAAACGTATTGAATAAATATCCGTATCAAATTTCCAAAGCAGTAAACCTATTTCAAGGCAAGAAATATTACTTCGAAATTCTTCACAAACAAGGCATCGAAAACGGCTTTGTACAGTTGTATTGGAAGAGTGCTCTGGATGATGATTTCAAATTGATAAATGCAAAATACGTATCCACTTTCCTAAACACAATTCCATTTCCTTCAGAGAAAAAAGATCTCCTACATGGGGCTTTCTCTGGACAGTACCAACACGAATTAGCTTTGAGGAAATCCAAAAGATTCAGAAAGGAATACCTGTCATTCTATTCTCTGCCTTTCCTTCCTAGAAGAAGTTACCTACCCTCGTGCGAATACAAAAGCAGTTATATACTGCAGCACGGAGTTTACACGTACGAAGGGGTAAAAGCTGTACCTGAATCGATCGTATATCCTGAGGACGATACTGCAATGGGTGACCCAGGTTACCTGATATCTTGGCCAAATACAGTTGCTAACAAAGATGCAATTCAAGCAGTTGTGGATAAGCTTATGACCTCTTTGAGACTGGGAACATCCAAGTAAGTTAATCACTTCACTGGGGAGGGGGATGGTCAATGGGCCAAAGAAGGGCTGAAGCTCGAAACTTCAGCATCGCAACTCTTTACGATGGCTAGTTTACATTATAAAATCAATTCAATCAATCAATCAATCAACTTTATTTAACGAGGGTAACACGGGAGAGTGCTTCAACTGAGTAACTAGTGGCACTCAAATTACTAAATGTCACAGTCGAAAGCATCATTATTCTTCGGATACAGAATATCTAACAGACACAAGAAATGGGTAAATGCCTAAGCCTAATTTTCATCTCATCAAGGCTACATTTCCTTTCCCAAAATTGTTGATTGATAGTTTTTCACTAACTAATGAAATTGCATGTTTTGTATCCGTCAAAGTGTGAATCAGGGTTATTTTGAGAACGCCTCCGTTTCGAAGATTCCAGAACGATACAATAAGTCCAATTTTGCGGTTAGGTTTCTCATCATCCTTGTCCATGTATCTTTTCGTTCTTTACTTTCATGTCCCGTTTATATGTTTGTATCTGGTATTTACCTCTTCGTTATATTAGTGAGTTATTTGCAATACTTCAAAAGGGGAAACTTTTCCGGGTTTCGCTCTCGCGTCTCTACCTCCGTTCTACAAATGATCACAAATCCCCACCGAGATATAGAATATCTCTAGCAAAACCAGAGGCGGGGGGAGGGGGGCGGAAGAAGTTTGAGCATTCGCGGGAGATTATATTATAAACATAAAGTCTAAAGATGCTTCGGGGGTAAGTACCTGTTGAATAACGGCTCTATATAAATTTTAGTCTCTTCGATTAAATCTATATTGATCTGGTTTAGAAACTATTTTCTAAAGAGAATCCACAAAATACTGCAGAGGACAGATCCAGTTTATGGAGATCGCTACTCTATTGATCTGGAGGTTGGTTTAGAGGGTACTGAACAATCGTTTCGCCTGTCAGAACACGTCTTTCAAGAAAAGGTCAATCACAGTTTGTGCTTCCAAGATGGTATGCATTGGAATAACGAGGCTAAAGTGTACTTCATAGTTCCTGTCAAGGACCAAGGAAGATGGGTTTATCACTTTATCAACGAGCTCACCATTGCTAGTTTCTTGACCGCTGATACGAACTTCCATGTCATTATAGTTGACTTTGAGAGTCAAGATATTGATTTGCCAAAGGCGTTTGACACCTCTCTTATTCGCAACAGACATACGATTATTTCATTACAAGGTAAATTTTTCAAGACTTTGGCGTTAAACACAGCAGTCGAGCATGTTCCAAGGGCGCAAGATTTACTGTTTCTGTTTGATCTCCATACGGACGTACCAGTAGATATGTTGGACAGCGTTCGCAAGGTGAGCCGGTGCGGATAATGTTGTTAGCTCTTTCACTTCCAAGCTAAGATCTTAACATTAATTCTTCTGACTATTAGCAGCTAAGCCCGATCAAACTAAATAGTATCCTCTAAACTAACCCTCGGACGTACAAGGGGAGTGGAGAGGGGGGGTGATTGGGGAGAGGGGGTAGGGAGGTGAATACGAAACCCTATCCGGTTTGTTTCAATTGTATCCGAAGAGGATTTTATCTGTGCGAATGTTTCTTTTAGTAGCTGTTGGTTTAGCTCGAAGAAATATTTGCTGTGAGTTTGGTGAAATCAACAACCCCCCCTCCCCTTGTTCCGCTGTGGAGAATGAGTTTGCTTGTTTCTCATTTTACTCTCCACTTATCTGCCTTACAGTGTACATGCATTGATACCGTAAGAAAAGTATAACCGTACGCAAGAAAATACATGGTAATTTGTTTCTATCAACTAAGTTGAAATTGTAAATTGGTCACCGTAAAGAGTTCAAAAACTGACTTTTCGAGCATTTGCCCCTCGTCAGAGCCACAAAGAAGGGCCTTTTAACTCTTTACGGTGGCCATTTCACAATTTAAACTTAGTTGCTATAACCAAATTACCTTGTTACCCCCACCGACATAGCACCACAGTTTCTTTAGAAACTAACCCCCTTTATTCAAGAAAATTTAAACTGAACGGCTCATAATCTCTTGCCGTGGTTTATTGGTCACTGCCGGGAGTAGGAGCGTTAATGGAAAAACCTGCTGTTCAAAACAGCTGCCGTTAACTAGACGAAAACATTGCAGAAATTGATGATGAACTCATTATTTATGAGAAATTGAAAACAAATTTCATTCATTTTAATGCTTCAATTTCCTCCTCAACACCATTTTGGAACGGATTACTTTTACATTACTGCTGCCATTTTGATTTGAGTAATTCAATCCCCATAAAAATGGTATTCGAGTCGCGCATAAAAATACCACGTAATCATAATCGGTGGCGCAAGTACTGTTTTGACTGAATGCAACATGGTGATAAAGTGAGTTGACTTGCTTTTTATGTCTATTCCCATCTGAATCCCTGCAAAGATACCAATCACTCTCAGCAGGGTCCCCTCGTTTGGCTGCTAACCTGACGTCTAAACTGCAGTTAAAGCTAAGTAAGGTTTTCGGCTGAACTTGGATAAATCCCCTTCTCCTAGCAAAGTTCGTTGAGTCAAACGTTTTACTCCTATTTCTTTTTTTATTTTGCAACCGACTCTAAATGAGAGGTAAGGGCTCATCTTTTTCTAAGATATAACTGCTCGGATAACATTTCGTATCACATTTGATTTCATCAAAGAAAGGTCAGTGCATTGCATTTCATGATGATCGTTTATTTTCAGTATACAATAGAGGGTCGCTTTGTTTATGCGCCAATAGTTGGTCGCTTGAATTGTGGTAGCACATACGTCGATCACCAAGGCTTTTGGGAGCTGAGCGGATATGGTTTTCTCGGTGTATACAAATCTGACTGGCAACGGTTTGGAGGTAGGTCTATGTTGTTAAAGTGGTTGTGAAATCGAGGTCTATAAAGTTCTACGCCTTGAAAATTAATGACGTATGTTGTGACAACCTGACCTGATGAATCCTTTAAAATAAAATATGAGTGAGTTCGCAGCTTGATTGAAATTGTTTTTGGTGGGTATTTTATGCTAAAAAAAACAAAAAAAATTGAAATTTGTACGCCACGCCTTTGCCATAAATAAACAACCTCGCATGAACTCCATCCGGTTCAATCCTGACCTCTTGAATCGTCATCTTGTAGCCACACCGTCCATAGTGTTCAGTGGTGTGAGTGGCATCCACACCATAATTACCAATGACCATGACACTAAGCCATGCAAAAACATAGCAATACTGAAGAATGGAAATACAATCATTTCATTCCAAGCCGCACTAACGAAGGAACGTTTATCCCTAACAAACGTGCCTTTGACAAGGAGACTTGCTTAGAAAGATGTGTACTAAACCCAAAAAATAAATCCCTTTATCTTTCTGCGCCAATGTTTACAACTCATTAGGGAGTCATATTCGTGTCTTGTTTGTCTATTCATTTTAAGGAATGAACTCTGCTCTCTATCAGTACAAGTGGGGCGGAGAAGACTGGGATATACTAGACCGTATACTCAATGCAAAGCTGGAAGTCGAGAGAATTAAGCATCCGGGACTTTATCATCATTATCAAATCAAACAAAAGACATGGAACTAGGAGCACTGATTTTGTTTATGTTTGGGTCACGCTGGACAATTTTTAAGTCCCAGTTTTATTGAGCTTCACGTGAAATTTATTAGATCATTCAAATTGCAGCAAACCAGATTAATGTATGATTTTTTTCCCCCAAAATGATGGCCTATTCACTGTTTTTACGCCAACTTCCCATCTTAATTAACGTTAGGAGTCAGCTTATGTTATTCTTCATAGCTTTTACTGAACGTCAAAATAAAGTTTACAAACTACATGAGTGGGAACCTAATTGATCTCGTTGAGCTCAGCACTCTCAGAATTTTATGGAAGTAGAGAAAATCCATGAGGAACATGCAGTGGAATTTGACTAATAATGTAACGGACATCCTTTTGGGTTGTCAAAGAAATGAATAGATCAGAAATCTATAAAGGAGTGCAACGGTAAAAGAAATTTTACCCTTACGCTTTTCCAAACATGACAGAAACATGCAACACTCACTGCTCTCTAAAAAAAAACTCATTAAAAAAAAAAAGGATTTTATTGGGTCTCAAACTGATCGCCTGACACTTTGAACTTTTTTGTTTCATTTAACCTTTTTACATTACCCTTATATTGACTTCTGATTTCTTACCAAAGCATTAAGATCGTAATAAGAGCTTTACAAATCATCAGAATTCTGAAAGACCTAACCTAAAATATATATACGGGCCTTACAGGTACCTTATGTGCGAAGCTGGATTATTTTGTTTTAAATATTCTAATGTACTAATCGTAAACTACTTTAGATAAAATATACTCACAACGTCGCATAAGCTACATGAAAATGTCACAAAACTCATTCATTTTTATAAGTTTTTAAAGTAAAATTTTCAAATGTAAGACATAATCAATTCTGGTACCACTTTATAGCAATAAATGTGTCAAGTACAACATTTACATATTCTGGTTATCTACCAACGTTACTTTATACTTTTTAGTCTAACATGAATGGTCTGTCGAGCCTTGAGCAGAATAACGACGATACGATGTGTTTATCTTGTATATATGCGTTGTTTTAACTAGCTAATTAACACCTTTTTATTTATTTATTCATTTATTTACTTATTTTTTATTGTTCTAATGTTAAACTCCTGAATTTACATAAGCTTGTTCTAGCTCTTCTTTTGGAAAGGGGTGGGGGATTTGTGTAATACTGGGACCTGGAATGAGGACTGACGAATAATGCTTCTTCTTACTCAAAAGAATTTTAATTGATCGTTTTATTGGCGGGTCCGCTCTTCAGTAAGTCTGGCAATCCATAAAGAAAAGACATGCTTTCATTCCATCGCAAGGGAAATTATGGAGATATATACATTACCTTTTAGACTTTCAGCTGGATAAATTGATTAAAAGAAAGCTCTTATGAACGAAGCACACGGTAGTGGAAAAGAAGTCGTCTCTCCGGAGCTCATTACCGTACTGGTGTTTTCGCAACTCAGCCTCGTTTGCAAAAGTATTAAAAAAAAAAAAACAAACAAAACAAATGAAAAAAGCGCTTTACTTTGCAAATACCTAACTTGTAAATGTTTTCGGTATCATACAGTTCCTGATTTTGTTCATTCGTCCTTGCTCGATGTTTGTATACTCTACCAAACTATCAGAAAATTCTTGTTTCACTAAACAGCAATTTCCACAACAAGCAATGAAAAATGTGGTGATGTTGTAGCCATTCCATGGAAGCCAGAATAGAGAACTGGTCTGCTTACGAGAAAGTGCTTCTCAAATCTAACCCTAAAAAAAACTTATTGGACTGTCAGGATGATCCCATATTTTTTCTTTCATGAAATCGACAAGCGTAACGATTGCTAGTTTAAACAGTCACTGCGTATGCTTGGGTGGTTGAAATATACGTTACTGCCAGGTCCACGTTGGAAGCCATATTTCGCGATACTGACACTCTCTCGGCTTCACTAGCAGTCGAATCCCGTATGTGCAGAATACAAGCGAATGCGTTCTTGAATTGGGGGTTCATTATTCCGTAAATGAAGGGATTCGCCATGCTACTGCAGTAGACGAGGACGTAAGCCAGGTAATAAAGTATTCGTGGACTTCTTGATCCAAAAACCTCTATGAAGCCAATGACAGACAGTGGGGTCCAACAGATCATGTAGACGCAAACCACCACTAGCGATGTTTTCAAAACTTTGTATTCAGTCTTGTCTTCGGTTTTAGTGGCGTTCGGTAAGGCGGCGTGCCCGTGCACACGACGCGCGCTCTCACGGACAGTTCTGTAAATCACAAAGTAACAGCTGAATATCATTGTGGCTGGGATGAAGATTGTAACGGCACACAAAAATATGATGTATGATGTATCATCCAAAGCCCAAACGCAGGTACAATCTGAAAAACTGACGTGATAGTCAATTTTTCCCCAGCCGTACAATTGTGGCGTGTTCACCGCAATCGATGCGAACCAACAAAATGCAATAACCACGTACGTTGCTTTCCTGTTGGAGAAGAACTTGATGTACAGTTTGCGTTTGACGACCTTGAAGTATCGATTGATGGCAATTCCAGTCATTGTCAAAAGTGACACAATTCCAAAAATGAGTTGTGTGACTCCAACCATCTGACAAACCACATGGCCAAAGATCCATTTTCCATAACGAAGACTTATGATCCAAAATGGCATATGCAATGTCGCCATAAGAATATCGCTAAACGCCAGATTTTCGATCAACATATTCGTTATAGTGTTAAGTCTGCGATCGCGGTGAATGGCGTAAACAACCAAGGAATTTCCAATAAAGCTGATGAGAGAGATCAACACAGCGATGGCGACTTCAAACCCGATTTGGACATCGGTTCGTCCGAGAGGGTCAGCAATGATTTCGTCATAGGAATTGTTTGCGGTCATGTTTCTGTTGAAAAAATTTCTTGTCTCAACATTTTATTAAGAAGATGTTAAGCTCACCATCACAAGGCGATTGGCGCCTTGCTGACAGGACCTGTTCTATATTTAGATCATTAAAGGTTGGGGATGTCAGTCCATGGCAAAAAGAAAAAAAAACAACAAAACAAAAAAACCAAAAAAAACCCTTAAGCATTATTTAAGGCTTGGTCAGACTGGATCATACGTTTTGCGTGGTAGATACTTCCATCATTTTACTATCTATAATTTTTATCTACATTCTATTATATGACTATCGTCATATCCAATGTTACGTTTCAGCATGTACTTTTTTTTAGAGAAGGATTGCAGCTCCATCGCTCGAGGGCTGTAAAAGAAACCTGTTTTGCCTAAAACGCAAGTACGCTCTTATTTCGAACCAGGAGACTGCAAGTAATTTAGGATGATATTGTTTTCCTTTTAAGACATCTATCAACTCTGAATCGATAAATGAGTGTTTAACTTTCCATAAACGCATTTCAAGAATATTTCACCTGTGCGAATGTTTTTCAGTTGTTTCCTTGCAGCCTTTATTTTCCCCCCTTTTTTTTTTCTTTTACACTAAGCTAAACGTGACTTGGAACATCAAAAGCTAATAATCAAATAAATAAAGATTGATAACCCTTCAAGTATTGTATCCTTTTATGTCATCAAAAAATTGAACTGATGTATATTTAATCAAACCTCTCTGGTTTGTGACCACTTAGCGGTCACCCCGCATAAAGTCCCTGACAGAAGTTTACTTGGAAACAATTTCAGACGCGTTCTAGTGTTAGATTATTTAAAAAGAACTGCAAACAAATACAAGTGGGTTAAGTGACAAAAACTTGTGCGAGCACTGAGGCCATAACGATAAAAACGCCAAAGAAACAATTAAACGTACAGTGTAGACTCGCGAAATGTTCTTCGGCTATCACAAGCTTGACGTTTTGTTTGGAACCAATCTAAAACGTTTTTTAAGTATAGCATTTAAAACTAAAGAAATACCAATTTGTATACATGTACATTTTCATCACTTCTCGAAACGACAGCTCTTCAAAATTTTATTTGGCAATTATGTCCATATATAAATTCTACTTTATATTCAACGAAGGGATTTGCCCACCGACGCAGCGTAGTAGATTTTCTTTAGCATAAGTCTTTCCTGATTGACTATTTTATTACACTTTATTTCGTTTTAATGATATCCCGAACGTGAGTCGGAAGAGAAAAAGCAAATGAAAAAATAATTTAAACCGGTAAGGATAAATGTCGATTCTTATTAGAAGGGAAAAAATTATGCAATTGCACGCCCACTCGCACTATTTTGACTTATATTACTTGCCACTGTTGATTTTTTTAATATCTCTGAGTTACTCTGAGACGTTTCTTAGATATAGGTTATTAGTTTTCAGTCCAAAACCAAAACACATTGGCGTTTTTAATCATCGGGATATCTTTTATAGGCAAACATCTAGACGTTTCAGGCATGTAATCTTGAATCTGGCAACAGAATGAGTGACGCAAATAAAAAAAAATTCATGATACGTTTGCAAACTTTTTTGTGCATACGAAACAAATTTTATGGGAAATAAATATTGTAATTTTGTAATTTTCCGAGTCTGCTGTGGATTCACTTAAAGAAAAAAAGAGAAAATTTCACGCCATCTTGCACATTCTGACAAATTTCTCATTGTCAGCTCCCGAAAGGAAAAAAAAAGGAAGAGCTCTTTAAAGTGATTTCGCCAAAACCAACCTGTCTCATTGTAAAGAATAAAGTAAAGATTGGCTTTCGGAGATATCCCTTGCGCAATATAGAATACAATGACCTCTTCGAAGCCATACTGTGATAAATGATTACACTTTGCTCTTCTGACCGGCACATGACGAAAACTTACCCAAAATGCCCAGGAGCTTACTCACACTAAGTTGTTTGTTGTGGTACTGACAAAATTTTCTTAGTCCATCTCCTAGCGTATCGCTTTAAGTCCCAATTCTCACGAGATGAAATCAAAACGTTTTGCTCCCTTTGTATAAAACAATAGTGAATGTATACTATTACAAACACCGTCTAACACTTTATTGGACTTTTATTATTAAATTTAGCACCTGTTTTTACATGTTAATCAAACTGGGACGTCAACAGCCAATGAATAAATTATTTGAAATTTAACCCGGAGACACATTTAAGTGTGAAAATATAATATTGTTTGAAAAAAAACCCTACAATGTAATGTCTTTTGTTTTTAGCTATTGCCTCGTTCAGCTAGCTATTTGTAAGGAATATAAAGCGCACTACAGTTCATTGTTTTGAGGTAACAAATATTTCAAGCCTGGATTCTAAGGGAAAAGAAACCCGTAGTTCCCTCTGTTAAGAGGAAAATATTCAAACACTAAGAGGAAAAAAAGTAAAAAACTCATCGAATCAATATTGAATATTTAAATCGACTGAATCCTTTAGGCTGTCTCACGAAATTTAGAGAAAAAAGGTCAGGATGCTCAGCTAGATAACGAAAAATGATATTTTATGCAAAGAAAATATAAAGATAAAATACCTAAAAATTTGACTTTTTTGATAGATCAACTGAGAAAGTTAGTTGCGGACAGACGAAAGTGACAACACCTTTCCTTGGTAATATTTTGAAACAGCAAATGAAATGGCTACCCAACTGACTTCGATACAATGAATTTCAAGGGCGCAATGTACTATAGGATTAGCTAACGTGTCAGCCCATTACAAATTTTAATTACCTCTGGTAAAAAGCATATTTGAGTAATGATTCTTAGATTTCATTTATCTTTGTTTGCCTGGCATTTTACATAGGGAATGTTTTCTATTCATGAGATATTTTCTGATAAGATTCTTCTTCGTGATGTTTTCCATTGGGGAAAACTTATTGCAAATGAATGGACTATTCTAAGGAGAGTCAAAACGAACCAGCTACCAGAATTCCTTCGTGTGGGCGTGTCTATGATTTATTTTCACTCCTCGAGGGCACGAACAATTTTTTTCATGATATTTCGGTCTCACTTGATAACTTAAGTGATTGAATAGCTGAAAGGAAGGTCATTTTATATTGAAAAGCCATTAGGGATACTTAAATAACCGGCTAATTTACATCCCTAAGAGGTACTTTGCGTCCTCTCCCCTCCACCCTTAAAAGTTTTTTTCTTGACCCCACCTTACAGGTAATGTTGACCTATTTTGCCATCATACGCGAACTCTGAAATATTTTCCTCCCTTTTTTTATAACTATAATCATATCTTTTTTTATCTTCCCTCTCAAATAACATAGAATCCATAAAATAAATTCTGAAATTCCTCGTTTATGATACAGCAGCTGATGAATGTTTCTGGAGAAAAATAGCATTTTGTGGCCTTTCTTTGAAAAAATAGATACCTAGCCATATATTTTGTTTCTAGATTAACATAATTTGATATGTATTAGCAGTGAGCATCCTCTATTTAGTCTTGACTTAGAAAATTACTGAGAGAAGAAGTAAATTTAGAAAATTTGATAGAAATTCTACAGAAGATAGATGATATTTTATGAATAGGGGAAATGAGGCTAAAATCAGTTTTGCTTGGATAGACAATTTGAATGCAAAATATGACAACCAGCAGACATCCAAATCCCCCCACTGTAGAGTCACTTTCATAAAAATGAAAAACACGGAACAAAAAGAGCTCAAAAAGAAAAGGGCAAAAAGATTTATTTTAGTCAAAAGGCCCATCCATAACAATTAAAGCATTATTCTGCCTCAATGTATTTTCACTAATTGCGAGGTATGACTTAAGAATCGGTCAAAATAAAGCCGTAAGAGCATTTTTGTTCATAATATATCCCTCCAAAGCTTCTCTTCCTGAGGTCGGAAATGAAAACAGTGAAATAACCCATTGAGCGCGAAAACCAATTAGACTCATTCGCCTCGTGCGATTGAGAATACTTAACTACTAAAAAAAACGTCTTATGAAAGCTGTATGGATACTCTGATACGTCATGAATTCAATTGATATTTTATACCGCTCTCCTCTTTACTATTCAATCACATTTTCGAAGATATTTATCTTCGAAATTTTTCTAGCTTCTCCGCGAAGGCTTTGAATCTAATATTTTCGAATTCCCGGCGGTTAAATATAATGAAGGGGTAATGGAAGATATAGATGTCAGATACTATGTGGGATTAAAATCTTGTTTTGCTTAAAGGGGAATAAGATTAATCCAGAAAATGTCAAGCAGTCTTGAATTGCTGCAATAGATGTTTCTCCCCATCGATCTAAATAGGCGTCCGCTTCCTTCTTCACATCAAAGTAGCTGCGAGATCTCGCTCCAAAAGTAACTAAATTCATTTATATTGTTTTTTTTTTAACTTGCCGAAGAGGAAGTCTTAATCAGATTAAAGATCAAAAGAGAAATAAAAATCTTAAAATACCGCAAGATTATCGAGTTAAAAAAATGGTGAGCTGAAACTAAGGAAGTTACTCGCATTTTTAAGGATCATTACTGTATTTTGTTAATATCATTTTCTCTTCTTAGTGTGCCACAGCCATGACAACGAAGCACAAGGCAATAGAATCTACAATGATATTACCACTTTTGCAAAACGTGTAGATGAAACCAAATTCAACGAAGAAAAAGAGAAATCAATGAAATTTTCTAGCTAAAGACTCAATCACAATCTATGATGACACAAAAAGCAATTCTAAAATGTATCATTTGGTTTTCGTTTAGTACCTTTCCTTCTAATACACCAATGGGCAGAGCAGTCAAGTATCCATTGCAATAGTTATGTATGCTCACCTTCAATTGCAGCAGTAGAATTCTTGACTCGCCTTTCCTCTCCAGAAATATTTGATGTCGCTCCTCCTGGCACACTTTACTATGTCGCAATCTGGATGAGCTGATAAAATTTCATGGGAAAAAAAGAAATTAATAGAAGGACAAAGGATATTAGTCATGTGAATAAATTGATAGTTTTCTTTGAGTCTATTTTCCCGACAACCGGAGAACGTTTCTTTTTTCCCAAAGGGAAACGCACCAAAAGTTTCTGAGAATAGGGTTGTTCGTTTTGAGCCATGCGTCTATTTAACGCCGCTACTCGACACAAAGAGCGTTTGTCTACACCTCTCAGCAACTCGTGTGAGAAGACCTGACCACGTGACTGAAATCCTCTCTATATCCGTCACGCTCGGACCAGTCATGTTTCCTATGGTCCATATGTGATAAAAAATTTCTTAAGAATGATAATATAAAATTTATACACATTTCCGCCTTTCATCCAGGAAGTAGTGCTTTTTTCCCCACCCATTCTGCTAAGACCGCATAACCGAAGAAAACGGCTTTCTACGGTACCGTGCAAACGGTAATGCAAACGATTATCATCGAATATCGCGCTTTGTTCTTCCGACAGATACATTAAAATCAGCTGCAAGCATAATTTTGTACTTGTAACGCAGTGAAAGAATCAGAGCGCGTAAGAACGTGGTGGCACTTTAAGTTTGAGAAGGTCTTGTTTACTTTATGGTAGATTATGATAACACGTAGGACACTTTCCAAAGTTAGCATCCCGAGAGTTCCTGCTGCGCATATAGAATCTTTAGCATCATGTTTCTGCTCAGTTTTCTATTGGTGAGTTTAAGCATGACTTTTACGACAACAGCAATCGGCGAAAAAACTCCTATCGATCTTACACGCTTTTCCTGAAAACGTTCTATAGAGCCAAAAAAAAGATCACAAATTAATCGCTTATTTACGGCTAATGCAAAAATCTGTTCTTCAGCACAGAAACGGCATAGCAGTTAAACAGAATCTTGAGTTCTTCTCTTTAACAAAACCTTACCATCTTAAATTTGGAGTCAGAGAATGCAAATCCTATTTACTTTGTCCTAGACTTCTGAATGGTTTAACTTAAGCTCCATTAACAGGGTGCGAGGAAGACTGCTAGAACATTAAAGCGTTGTTTTATAAAAAAAAAAAAAAAAAAAAAAACAGTCAGCAATATCAAGAACAGTCAGGAAAAACATCTTAAATTTGAAGTGAGAGGATGCAAATCATATTTTCTTGTCTTAAACTTCTATTTAGTTTAACTTATCCATCAAACAGGGTGCAAGGGAGCGTTGCTGGAACATTAAAGCGGTTTTTTTACAAAACAAATACTGAGAACAGTCAGGAAAAAAATTCACATTGGAAAACCTTTAGTGGAAAGCGTTACAGATGGAGAGAGCCATAACCCCCCTATGAATAAATGCGTTTAGAATTGAAGTCCGCATTGAAATCAGTCCAAAGAGCTTAGAAATTTAAATGAACGATAACTTTTAAGTTTTCTTTTGATGGAAATAAGATAAAAAATACATGCAAACTCTCCAAGAACAATATAACTTACAAAAATAAGTAGCAGCAAGACAGATCGGAAATAGCCGACAGTTATATCACTTCATATCAACAGTTTCACTCAATTAATGTTGTCAATTCAAATACAGCTATATTTGGGGGTGTCTATGCTCTCAGTTTGATACATCTTTAGCATTTCCATGGTAATCTTACGCTTCTATTGCAACCTGTCCCTCGGATTATTACTCTTAATGAAGTTAATGCATATTCAAAACAGTTAAACTTAATATTCAGGACTCACCAATCTGAGGAAATTGGCTCCAAAGTGACTTATTGCGTTTTTTCGCATGCAGACAGGATTAGCCAATAAAAAAGTCAATTTTTTTTCCTCTTCATGGGAAAATTTCAGTAAGAAAATATCAACTTAAACATGCTTTTATACTGTCAGTGGATTAGAAGCAGACTTTTTAATTACCTCATGGTGCCAAAAACTATATAATAAATAGGCTATTCAGTACTGCAATATTTCAATACTGCTTGATCAGTCCAGTTTTAATGCAAACGGCACGGAATTAATTAAAAGTCGTTAGAGATATTGTGAATAGGAGGCTTAAGTTTACACAATACTCTGTGAACTGAATCGTCCGGGCGCATGAGTGGTGAGACTGAGATGACTAGCCGGCGGTAAAGAGGACGGCGCGACTTGCCGACTGATGTTTTGCGGTTTTACCACTTTTGCCGCAGTGCCACCGCGGCAAAAGTAGTAAAAGCCGACTTGTAGGCTTTTAACTCGGTGTTAATTGATTTTTCTGAATTCTATTTTTAAATATTTTTCTCTTGGTTTTGAAAATTTGAAAGACCAGAGCGTTTTTCCAATCAATTTAACCATTTTTTGTCAAATAACATAAATTGAACCCGAAATTTTTTCTCGAACCCCTATTAAATCTTTTCAGAGATGTTATTGTTTTGATGTCGTACATTAGGAAACAAATCAAAAACATATTTCATGGCAGCATTTGTGTAAAAAGCAAAATTTTCCCCCGAAAAATGTCACCATTTCTTGTTAATTCTAAAGTTTTCTTCATAAACAAAATGAATTACCTCAAAACACAAAAATGCGGAGAAAATAAATTCATGCATAGAAATTATACAGGTGCCTTAAAGCGCTTATTTTATATCACGGCTGGGTTTCGCCATGCACTGAGTTAAAAACGAAAATACAAACAAATTTCTTAGAACTTGGCTATATTTCGTGCAACCTTGAAACTGGGACCTATTTTTGTACCATCCTCCCGTTTAAATTTTAGGATTCCGTAACTACTCCAGAAAATGTAATTTTACTTCTCAAGACAACTCGTAAATTTCTTCCTTACTGATAATTCTCTAAGACTTAAAAGAGAGTCCCCTAATCACGCATTATTGCACTAATTGAACTTACCTCAACAAGTTTCTCTCGAAGTTTTATTCCAGGTAAGACACAAGTCTATCGACACCTAGCAAGAGTTATTTGCTAAACAAACTCTGATACTTGCATCTGGGTTAGATTAGCCAACACTATTCTTTTTGTTCAATGGTAATTTTCAAAGGATGAAATCATCATAAAAAGAACCTCTAAATATCGCGTATACACTGTATTCTGGGAACTCGATAAGAAATATTAGTCTTCTGGCGCATTAAATAACCGCAATTTAGAGTATTAGTCAAAATAATCCTTTTGAATTAATGCAAATAATGACGAAACAGTTTTTGGTCTTTGTTGAACTCAAATACGCCTAAAGATGTAAAGTCATATTTAAATTGATTTAAATAGCATCTTAAGTGCCGATATGTAATTTCACACCTTTCATATTTTAACAAAAACTTTATAAATCTTGAAGACCATTCTGCGTTATCCAGTTAAGGAAGAGAGAATTTTAACAGAAAAATCAGTGGGCCAGTAGGAAGTTATTCGATGGCCTCAGGGAATAGACACCAAAGATAATATTCATATCGGTGAGGTGGCTTTAAAGTCGTGAAGTTGGAGGAATAATGTTTCATTGATGATCCATGGTTGCTATTTGAAGCCATGATATAACTGTAGATAGTACGTACAGTTTGATTGGTCAATCTACTTTGCAACCCTATATTAAACACCTACAAGATACCCAGGTGGATGACGATGATAAACTACAACTGAACTCCTGTTAGGAAATAAGACTCTAATTCTATACTATGCACGTCACGAAGAGAGAATATGTCTGCGCTTTCAATTTTCAACTGTGATGATAAATTATCATCTTACTAAAACTATTGATAAAATTGCAAACGGGAGGTCGCGTCGCGTCGTAAAGGTTAAGAGATCAGCCAAATTTCAAAACTTCTAAAAAAGAAAATGAGAGGTCCCAATTTCTTTCCCTAAAGCATTTTGAACCGTTGAATTTATTCGGCATTTCAGTCAAGAACATTCCTGAGAGTCGTATCTACAGCGCAAGGAAATCACAAAATTATTATTATCACAGTTTCATAATTTTGATAATTTGGAGTTCTTGATAGACCCATTTATTTGCCCTGTCCGCGATATAACTTTGCAATGAAAAGTTTTTCGTCATATTTAAACATTCCTGGCACTTGCTTTTGTCGAGGCTACAGCGAAAGTCCTAATTAAAGAATTAAAGAATTAAAGTCCTAATTAAAGAAAACCTAAAAAAGAACGCCACCAGTAAAGTCCAAATTAAAAAAGAGACGACGTAAAAAAATATTGCATCGAGAGTAAAATAGCATGACGGCACCTGATGAGACTTATTACATGAGTCGTCAGGCTTGTTGTCTTTTGATGTCGTTCTATATTACTCCGATCTTTTAGAATTAAGAATTGAGTTTTAAAAAATAAGAAAGATAAATTTGCGTAATAAAACCTTGGCTCCAAAAGCAAAAAGGAAAAACTCCCAGAATAACAAAACCTTGCTCTAAGCATGCGAACTTTCCGGAGACGTTAGTTTACAGAGGACTAAAAGTTGCGTCTACCCTTCAAATTGAAGTACTTTTCCGCTTATGTTCGATTCTGTGCCTTACTTTTTCTTACCATCATTTTTTTTAGGTTTTCTTTCTAATATCTGACTCGTACTCTCGGTATCTCTTGGTAGCGTTCTTTTTAACATGGCCAGTAGTTAATTTTTTTTAAGGCGCCTAGAATGGCTCCTTCTGCCTTTGCACAGGTGTTCTGAGAATCAGTGACTTGATCTAAAAGAAAATCTTGTATTTATAGTCCTCTTTCTAGACTCCATTTAAAAAGTTGGAGGAACAATCGATCGAAAAGATTTCCTAGTGTTCTCCTAACATCCCGCGTGAGTTCTTCTCGCTATCAGAACCGGGAAAATTTGTTTTTACTTTATACAACGTGTTTTTCTAAAGTCGCCATTGCATTATTTACCATAGCGAAGCAAACAATATTCTAAACAAAGTTTTATTTTTAAATGACTCTGAGACTATGAGATAATTAGTGATACTGACAATAATAATTAAAATAATAATAATAATTAAAATAATAATAATAATTAAAATAATAATAATAATTAAAATAATAATAATAATTAAAAGAATAATAATAATTAAAAGAATAATAATAATAATAAGTTGCAGCATGAATAATGAACATCGCGTACTACTTAACTCTTTGCCTTCAAACATTCTGGGGATTATTAGAAACTTAGGAAGTGATCGTCACTGATTAACTCTTTCATAGCCGAAATAAGTAATAGGTTTTTAAAGAATTTATAATGACTATTTTAGATTTGGATACCCGAAATAGCTTATCTTTTTTATTTTTCGAGGGTTTTTTTTTTGGTTCAGTATATAGATTTTGATTTCACTATAGTTAACGGGCTACGCTCATGCGCTCCGTCATACTATTCTTATTGTGTATAGCATACAAAAGTTTTAAACTGCTGCATAATAATACCAACGATGGCAAGGGCGTCTAGTGACTACCAGGCTAGAGGATGAGAGTTTGAGTGCCGATGGATGGCTCACAGAGTGGAAGAACTACCCATGATACACAATTGCTAGACTCGTCGAGCTATACGAGCAGCTCTTGCCAACGCGAGTATGCATGAGTCAGAAGACCCACACAAGCGGGGAAGGCGAGGTGAGGTGCAGATTACGTGGTAAGGCTCCAGAGAGCGTGGCTTATATCTTGTCAGGATGTAGTACGCTGGGCCAGAGAAAGTATCTCTCTAGACACGACGCAGCACTGAAGGTACTGTTTTACGAATTGTTGTATGATGAGAGTGGTTATAGACGAGATACCACCCTGGTACTCGCCCGGCAAGCCCAAGCCTGTGTATGAGTCAGAGAATGTTAAAGCTTATTAGGATGTCCCTTAGAGATCACTTTCATAAATGGCTGCCGGATTAATATTCTTTTGTTGAAATTGAAATTAGCCCTACTGGCTTCGTTCTCCAATAAAAAATTCAAAAGAAACATTATCTCAAGCGAGGCCAGAAGGTCTAATTTAAATTTAAACCAAAGAATATTTATACTACAGCCATTTATGAAAGAGGTCTATATACGCTGATCAACAAGAGGTCAGATGCAATAGGGTGGATGCACGCATTGCAAATCATATGTGCAAGAGACTTGTGATGCTGGAAATGAGCTGCCCGAAGGTTAACAATCGGACAACAAAGGATGAAAAGAAGACACTGAAGTACGGACCCCTTCGCTGGGTACTAAGGCAGCAGTTCCCAGGCTACGAGGTGAAGCAGTATAACATCATAATGGATGCCCTCGGGGTGTGGTCACGGGAGCTGAATGTCATGATGCGCGAGCTGGTGGGGGGCAGAAGCACAGACGTACTGCGAAAGATGCAGAGAGGAGCTAATCTTCTAATCTTCTAATCATTTTTTACTGCATTACCGCAGTAGTGTAGGACTAGAACCGAACATATACGAACCATGCTAGTGGTCCACCCAATAAATCCCACCCATCCCCACCCCAGGGGAGGACATTCATCACACAGTAATCTCGTGCGGGGGCAGTGCTCTCGGGTACGTTGAATATTTCCCGGACTTTCAAGGTGGCAGTTTGAGTTCCTCTTGGAAGGAGGACCGTTTACACAATGTAATTGCTTTTTAGGATTAGTTAATGTACATTTATTTTTTACTCCATAGCTCACAGGTTACGGTTTTCGCCCTGTGTTGCTTGATTAGAATGTAGCATTTAGTTGAATTCCCTACGACATGATATGATGATAACGACAGTGAAAACTATGATAATCAAGCTGTTATGATAAGGACTATATCAATTTTTATCATTATCATTATTGCTATAGTAAGATCTTCCAAGTGGGCATCGATATTAAATTTTACACTTGTACATCAGTAGTAACAAAACTTATCACAGACATTTTTTCGGAAAAATTTATGTAGAGATATTTTCACACAACCTCTTTGATCTGTGGCATATTTCTCCCTTATATATTTTTTTTTTACTTCCAGGACGAGGCGCTCTCTTTAATAAAAAAATGTCAATTTTTTTCATCTTGATTTCCCACGATAATCTACTAGTTTGGGTTACATTTAATAAGTAAATCATCAATTGGTTTGAACATGAAAATAATTAAACTGATGGGACTGGCGAACTGGCTTATCACCATGTTAGGATTTTGCTTACCATGTCTGGATTGGCCAATATCATACTGATTTTGGTCGGTTGAAATATCGTAACTCTTCCTCTTTGCGTTTTTTCGACAGTCTTTGTGGTGCAATCATTTATATTTTCGTCGAGGTTTCATGCCATTACCGATTGTTGATGGCTTACTGCACAGTTATTTCTTAGTCTAATGTTCAACACAAACAGGAAGCAGTTTCATTTCAGGTTACTAGTCTGCTTTGCACGGAACTTTCAGCTTTTTCATGTGACAAAATTCGATTCGTGTTTGGAGTGTTCTGTAAAAAACGTTCTGTTATGCTAACATGATTTTTTCAAACTGCTCGATACCCTTTCGGACAGCTGTTTCCTGACCAACCACTTACTACCAGATTTAAAGATTAGCTTTCACATTCTAGAACTCGTATATAAGATATTATTTAAAAATATGGCCAAACTCGATTTATTTTAGCAACAGTCAGAAGTAAACTGGTGATTTGGACGTATCGCAGTTTCAATAAAGAAAAAATACCAACACAGTGGGTAACTTTGGTTTTATCATGATCAAACGAGTTGATAATATCAATTGGCCACCATAAAGATTTCAATTTACATTATCAACTCATTTTATAAAACCAAAGTTACCTTGTTATACTCCCACCGACGCAGCGACACAGTATGTTGAAAAACTTAACGTCTTTAATTCATTTGGCCATAGCACACAGTCGAGCAAACAGGTTTGAAAATTTAATTAAAAGCGGCCTTCTTTTACGAATACACCATTTTTTTTTTATCACTGACTACGAAATAATGGCTTCACAGCGGAAATGAGGCGAAAATCTCCTTGGATCCCACGTTTCTCTTCCCAATTTCGTGATTTGCTTAATCCATTCTCAGCTGTGTTGACTCATCATTTTTTTGTTTTGTTTTTGTTGCATACCCGTGCCAAAAAAATTAACCATCTTTTCATCCAATTGATCGATATTATTTGCGTCCTATTTTGCCTACTTTCCATTGTGGTCACTTATTCAGACATGCTGCATCGATTAAAACCGTAACTCAAGTGTATATTTCTTAAGTTCGAATCTTATAAGAAAGATGGTTTTGTCATCTTTAGGAAAATTCGAGGTTGTTTTTTTTTTGTCAATATTTTGAATCTCATCGCTTAAATATGGTAGATCGCGAATTTCCGTCAGCTCGTATTTTTGTAGAATCAACAAAGGTAGGTTGTATACATTTTTTTTTGGAAAACCTAATTTTCAAAATAAACCTACTGCGACTGACCTGTAACCTGAGCTTGTCGTTCACTGACCTTGGCGACGGTTTCAATCATAGAGCGAGGGTCAAATCATCTCTCCAAGCTTAAATTCAGATAACACAGGTTTTTCTTGCTTCTTAAGATGCCATTTTGCTCATAAACTTCACTATCTCCAGTTGGACTTTGCTTTTAAAAGAACAATGAGACAACTGTGGTTATCAACAGAGGAATAAGAAATTGAGAAGTACTTCAAATATTGCACAAATACCATTTTTGAGAATCATAAGACGTATATTATTTGTCTGGCGCTCTAAATGAATTACGAACACCTTGCAGGAAAAATTTTGTTAATGACATTGAACGAAAAAAATTCAGAGTATTCGCAGCGTCTGGTCGAAGGAGAAGAAACTAAAAACAATATGAACAAAGTTGACACATCGAAACCAGTCGCTAGACATTTTAATTTATCAAATCATTCTAGGCAACATATGGCAATCTGCGGTCTTTCCTTACACTTAGGTAGCACGGAAAGCCGTAAAAGTCTTGAACAAAAGCTCATCTTTCAAACCGGCAGTCTAAATCCCACAGGGATCAACGAACCTTTTCATTCTACTAATTTATTCGTGTTTTTCTCGTTGCCATGTTCCCACTAATAACGTAGCTCCATTTTCTGCCTTTAAAAGCACACACAACCCACAATTCCTCTATTCGCTCCGACGAAGGGCTAACGCTCGAAACGCCAGCTTTTGTAATCGTTACGGTGGCCAATTTACCATTTCAACTTTGTTGATATATCCAAATTAAAAGCAATATGACGCAATTACATAACATCGTACAATCATAATATAACATCGTGCACAAATACGTTTATCATACAATGTGCCGGATAAAGGTATACGATAATTTGAAAAAAATAATATGAATAAAATGAATGAATAGCCGAACTAAAACGTTTCGCAAAGTTCAAACTCTGGACGAAATTGTTTAACATGATCAAAAAAAAAAAAGCATATTCAAATTTCACTGACTCTCACTAGTAAGGGTATTGACAGTAATAGAAATAATGAAAAATAATTATAATAAAAATGGTTCTAATAGTATATACATGCCTGTGCATACATAACCTTAGCATAGAAAACTCAGTGAGGGCGCTAAACGACAATTTAGTGGAGCAGAATTTCCGTTGGCACGATTGCAATTTCCTCAGAACTTTCCATGACCCTTAAGCAGTATAACTTTAATGGTATAATTGTTTCCTTTCTAGCAAGCCGAGTTATTGACATCAACGGCTGATCAAACATTTTGAAAATAGTTTTTCGTGATACCTCAAGGGGTCAATACCAGACTGATTCAGATCAGCCGAAATTCTTTTGTGTTTTCAACAGTTTTTGCAGCACAAGTATTTATATTCTCACCACATTTTGCTAACATAAATTAAATAGTTTCTGATCGCCTTTGAGAAGATAGTTTTTATTGTATACTGAGATTATTTATTCGATAAAATGTTTTATGTCACCAAATCTCCACCCCCCGGTTAGCTCAATTGGTTTGAGCGCCGGACCGTTCTGCGGGAGGCGGAGAGTTCGAGCCCCGGCGGGACCAACACTCAAGGCCTTAAAATGACCGAGGAGAATTTGCTACCTTTCTATAATATCAAGAAATGGATAGACATTCCAGTCTTCTCGGATAAGGACGAATAAACCGTAGGTCCCGTCTCCTATGAACTGGTCAGGCAGCGGACGTTAAAGAACCCACTCACGAGATTATTGTGATATGGTCTGACCTGTTTACTGGGAATTGGGGGGTGGGCATCTTCAAATAAGTTTCCTTCGATTGATATTGTAAACTTATTGCAGTCTGGCTAAAGTCCCCCGAAAGTGTTGTGATGCGCCTTTGAATATTGTACAGAAAAGGCGCAATAGAAGTAATAAATATTATTATTAGATACAATGAATATATGAAGTTCATATATTTTGAACTGCGGTATTAAATAGGTATGATGCACGATCCTTCGCAGTAGATAGCGCTATTTATGCAATAGCGAAAATCAGACCTGAAAAAAATCAGGCCTGTACGGGATTCGAACCACTGACCTCTGCGATATTAGTGCAGCGCTCTACCAATTGAGCTAACAAGCCAATTGCGAGCAAGCCGTTAAGTTGGCCTGCTCCCAGTTGGCTTATTAGCTCAATTGGTAGAGCGCTGCACTTGTATCGCAGAGGTCAGTGGTTCGAATCCCGTACAGGCCTGATTTTTTTCAGGTCTGATTCTCGCTATTGCATAAATAGCGCTATCTATTGCGAAGGATCGCGCATCATACCTAAATATTATTATTATTATTATCATTATTATTATTATTATTATTATTATTGTAAATTTAAGTTGAATTCCACTTGGCATGCGCAATGTGAAAACTCAGTGCTGCTTAAATCCCGTTAAATCAACTATCCGAACTGTTTCCATATTCTATGTTGCTTGTAACCACGCAAAAACTCTGATTTCGTTCTGTCTAACAAGAGAATTAAGAATAGCTGTACACATACATCAAAATTACGTTGTTGTCGCGAAATGCACGTGTTTCAGAGTGAAGCTTAAGGACATACCGTAAAACATTTTTGCTGATATTGTTTTTAACTGTTTGCAAACAAAATAAACTTTCATTAAAATCATCCTTGCAAATACACCCAAGTTATTAGTGATGTTTGATAAATTTGCTTTGAAATTCACCTATGAAGGTGGAGGAAGGAGGGAGGGGATCTCAATCTCTTATTTTGATCAACTTCATTAACTGAATAATATCTTCTATGAATAAACCACCTCAACTCTTCGGGTTTTTCTAAAACTGTTGAACTGCATATTTGCATACTTGCCTGAGCTCCTTCAACGAGGTCGTCCAGTTCACAACCATCAAGGCAGGCAAAGCGCTGAAGTTCTTTTTTCTTTGTCTTTTTTTTCTTATGCTTCAATGGGTAGAAATAGCTAAACCCCGAATCAAAATTTAGTAAACTGTTTTCCATTTCTAATGTTTGTTAAACCAGAACTTGAAGTTCTTCAAAATACTTGTATTCTTGAAATTACTTTGCGAGATTTATGAGAAACCTTTGAATTGAGTTGGAAATGTTTTCAAATTGTGCTGGAAAACACAAAAAGCGTGACATCACAGTTGTGTTTACATGCCAGTCTCATCTAAATTCACCAGTTGACCATCGAGAGCGCTTGTTATTTCAATTATACTATAATTACTGTAATAATATTTTTGATGACATGTAAGATGTCAAATAGTTGTTTTTATTATGTTGTCATCTTTATATTTATGATCATCATATCGTTAACATTATCATAATAAAATCCACATCCCACATACACATTCTTGTCAATTAAAAAGTCTTTTTGACGCTGCGTTCATAATGAAATCATCATAGCCACTGTTTCTTCATAAATCCTAACCTTACAAATGACATAATAATAATAATAATAATAATAATAATAACGATAATGATTATTATCAGTACTATTATCATTAAGAAACTCTCATTCTCATAGTTCTTTTCTCGTGCCCGTGGCAAAGTAATTTTCCATGTTTTCATCGCTTTGATTAACATTCTGTGCGTCAGGCGGTTTTGTGCTTTGCGTAGTTTATACCGCGGTAAGTCAGCCTCGCACGTTCTTGCACTGCCTTTCTGCACGTTTTATCGAATAAGGTGTATTATAAAATGATTCATATTCTCCTGATATTTTTGTTAAAGTTTTTGGTATGCTGGTCTTTTTTAGCTTTTAAGTACAAGAGGGATAACTTTTTCGCAAAAGTTAATTTACTTCATCCGTACTACTCGTGGTACAGATAACGGATTTCTACGTTTGTAAATCAAATTTTTCAAATATCCATTATAATTTGTTTCGTCCAGCCACCTATTATGTAAATAATATTTCGACGTATTAATCTTTCATCATTTCGCATTTCACAATTAATGGGTAAAAGTGACTGATGAAGCTTTGAGAGCCTTTTTCGTATTCACAATTATCTCACCAATATGCAGAAAACCATGAACTAGTCAATTAGGATCAGAAATACTAAAACAAAAATCTTTTCTTTCTGAAGTAAGCAAGATTGTTTTTTATGTGGATTGTGGGATATATCACAGTGGCTTTAATTTATTTTACCGTAAAAATATTATTGAAATATCGCTGAATAGAGATTTCATAAACAACAGTTCAAAACCAGTAGAAACAGATTGTCTTGGATAAACCGCATTGTGCAAGGCGCTTTTTAATCTTTTATTTTCTCAAACCTTTGTGTTTGCGCGGTTAAGCAAGGCGTCAAAATTTCATGGTATGAAATTGGAAATCTTATTTACACAATTTTAATTCTTTCAAGTTTTTTTTCGGACATCATTGAGTTGAAAATATACACCCCCGCACACTAAAAATGGCCTAGTTGTAAATCATGTCACATATTTCCTTTTTTTCCTCACATTTCGTTTGAGCTATCTGTGGTATAAAAGCTTAAATAAAAACTTTTATTTTCGTCAAAGCTGTGAAAATTTTAACAGTATCGAATTGACATTTTAATTTGGAACAAGAGATCTTCGCTTCTAGACGAGAATCACAAAACATTTATCTAGACCATGCATTTCCCCAGAGCTTTTGCATCACCATTTCGAATCCACTTAGGCACACTGGGCTTGTTAGATTATGTTTTCGGATATGGTGAACTGAAAAACAAATCTTATTTCATTAGATAACAGGAAACTTTTAAGGAAAACATCTCTTTCTTATACTGTAGAAAATAATTATCTTATTGAACTACTAGCCTGCATAAACCTCCGAACAAAAACACTATTTGCGTAAACGTTTATACCCGAATTACCTTGGTGATAACAAAATATTAAAAAGATTACAAAAAGTTTGCAATACTGGTGAATCAGTGAACGGTGCATAAAATCTTTTAAAGAAAATTATCATTCTAAATGTATTTTCATGCTGAACGATATTAGAGAAAGTATAGAACAGCTCTCCTGTTTTGATAAGACTTGCTTAATGTGTTTTCACTTTCTAATATATTTTTTGTCAAGGGGAGTTTAATATTTTGATCTCGAAATGGGCTTCGAAATAAGTCTGCATATTAACAGCCTGTTATTGATCGTTATCCGAAAACGTGTTCTTTAGAAAGTTCAAGTGCAACGAATACAGTTTCTAGAAGTTTTAAATTTATTCGTAGTTTTGCAGTAGAGAATTCCATATAATATATAGAATAAAGGACATAATTTTGCAACAAAAAAATATCTTCGAAAGATCTTGCCAAAGACTACTAAAAATTGCGTTGTTGCAACAGTAACAAAGCAAATTTGATGGAATATGAGGCGACGGCTATGGATCACATACATTTATTTCACCTAGACCTGGAGAAATGGACTTACCTGTTACATTTAATTTTCTGCACTTAATGCATCTACTTCTGTTTGATGTAAACTCTGATTTTCCCGCTGATGCTGTAGATTTCTCAAAGGAAAGTCTTCATGGCGTAAACGTCTTTGTTGTATGATACTTGGTACGAATAATGCCCCCTTACCTACGAGGTATTAAATAAAAACATTCCATAATGAAGTCAGCGTGAACTATGACGTGATTGGTCTGCTGGGCCAGGTGCTGAAACCGCTAAATTGGAGTAAGAAATTAATACGAAAAGTTAGCACAATTGAGTTATTTGCCACCAGCGTTCAAACACCGATTTTTTATAAAGAGAGTGATCCGATTCGTTTGTTATTATGCGAGCATTCACTTTTGTTCTAGAAGGGGCTTATTTCGCAAAGATGGTTCTAGCTGCAGGAAACTACTGCATTTTGATCGAGCAGCATTTCTCATTAGTTCATTCTCTCATTGACTAGCAGACCTGCGATGAGAATAATAAAACTGATCTTTCAATTTCTCATCTTTTTGCTTTTTATTCATTTTAGATATATATTTTTCTTTTTTACTTAAATTTAATTTAATTTAGAAGCTTGCGATGAAAATGTATTGCATTCAGAAAAGTGAGGAATTTCTGATAGAAGTGGGATTGGATAAAAAGAGTTTTGAAAGAGAAAAGGGTTTTTTTCTGATTATTACCGTTGGCTGTGTCCTTTGTAATATCCAATTTTCGTAAATGCCCTGCTCGTAATAGACATTTTATATTTGATTTAAGATAACATAACAGATTACCACAACAGCAGATTTGTAGTGGTTTGTGGTTTTCGGGAACAAAGCTAAAGCAACACAACTAAAAGTTCAGAGAAAAAATGCGGAAATCTTGACAATTCATCTACTCGTTCTTAATGATTCCTTCTTTTATCTTAGAAATGAGGCAAAAGTTGAATTAAAAAGATTTAAAAGCATAGTTAACTTTAAATAAAATGCTTATGGGAGAGTTGTAAATAAAAAAAGATTAAGAATTCTAATAAAGTAATGGATAAAAACCGTTAAAAAACTATTCGCTAATTTTTAGCGCTTTCTGCTTTATCTTAGCAAATGACTACAAGGAAACGATGTGAATAGTGACTTTATCAAAAAATCTTTTCAGATCTTGAAGATATTTAAAAAAAAAATCTCATCAATGTGTGGGAAAATCACGGTGCGCACTAAAGAAAGATTTCAAACACTTGTTAGGCGACCCTAAGGTTTCTAGCCTGTTGGAGTCTCTGTCTACATGTATCGCTAGGTTACAGAGTAAGGCCCAGCGATGCCGTTTCTTAGATTCATGGGTATATATAATCTATATATATATATATATATATATATATATAAATTATATATGGGGCTTTATTTGAATCGGAAGGAGATGTTATCCTGACTGAGAAACCGAGACAGTTAAAATCATGACCTTACTCTATATAGCAGATAATATCAGCTTATCTTGAAACTCTAGGTTTTAATTTTGTTCTTATTGTGAAAAACGATCTTGAATAATTATTATCTTGAATAGAAAACCCCGTCGGTTTCGAAAGGGTCACGCAGATCAGTCACCGCTATCGCTCAGTCACTGAATACTTATTTCTGAATTTCTTATTTCACTGAATTTCTTATTTCACTGAATTTCTTATTTCACTGAATTTCTTATTTCACTGAATTTCTTATTTCACTGATTTCTTCCTATTTTTTTCAGAGAATAAACGATGTTCATTTTACAAAACGCGTCGCCGCGAAAATTCACCCTCTATAAACAATCCTCTGCTTGTTGTCGCTTGATTTTGGCCTCTTTTCAACGATATTAAGAAAGTAATATTTTACGGGGAACCTATCGTGTCGCTTCATCATCAAGCAAGCAACTTTCCTTGATTAAGAGCCAAGAGTTCATGTTAATAAATTCATTCAACGTCAGCGCAGATTAATAACACTGATAACGGTCTGATAAGTAAGCATTTGTGTCAAACTGCTCATGCTTGTTATAAACTCCAATGGTTGCTAGTTTAAATAGATATTCAGCGTCCGTCCACAAGACTTTTACTTTTAGAACGAGACAGATGAGATAATATGGTTGTATCTACAAAAGCATTTTTAGCTAATATTTTTAATGAATAAAGTAGAACACTAATCACATTATTTGCTATCTCGATGAGCATCGCTAATTTCCAAATCAAGCCCTTGCCACAAATTAATTAATGAAAGTCCAACCGAATGAAAAGCGCTTTAATGAACTCATATTGCCTGAGTACCCAAACTCTTTTCACATCTTTTTAGAACACATCGTGGTCCATTTGCCGTGGCCTGTTAAATGTTATTTTTTTTATGTACTTTCCACTGAAATGTGACTTTATTAAACAGCCTATCAATGGCGATAAATTGTTAATTTGTTCAGTGAATTTTGCGGTGTTTCCCAGCCCGATGTATTTTTCCATTCACTCGGGGGAGGGAAGGGAGGGGGCCTTGGGTTAATGTTTTCTCTTTATTTAACCAGCTTCTGAAAAATAACGACTTGGGCAGAGATATTGGTCATTGTTTTCACAAAATTTAACACGCCTCTTACGTAAGACTGCTAGGAATATGGTAAAAACATCTGAAAAACTGTAATGGAGAAATTATGAGGTCTGTTATAGCGACAGACATAAGCACGAGATATTTAGTCCGACATAGCTATCGATATCAAAGCTATTTTATTACAAATGTATTGCTTCTTGAAGGTCTGCGACTTTTCCCGAATCTACATGTACAGTTAAACTACAACGATAAAGCTTAAAGGGATGCATATTATGATTTGTAATTATACATACCAGACCTTTTTATGAGCCAGATGTTTTGTGGTTCGCATTGCATTTTTGTAGTAATACCCCCAAACTCTTTTCAACCTGGACGCGCTGCTTACGGCGGACCAAGATAGAGAATCAGAGGAATTAGACTACAAAGATAAAGCTCTAAGTAGATCATGTATAATATAATCTGTACATATATATGGCATACCCCTTCATAGGCCATAAAAGATGACCTTTATTTCATTTCAAAGTACTTTATTTCCGAGGGTCACTGCACGATAACTTTGGGTAGAATGCGAAATGTGTAATGTCTGTTATAATTGGTTCTAGTTTGATTTCCTATCAGATTGATAAATCATGCAGACATATGGACAAATGGACATCCATTTTAGCAATTGAAGCCTTTTTAAATTTTGTGAGCTGGCAGATGGCCTTTGTTTCTGTTTGGAAATAAAAATTTCTTGTTATGTTGTTATGTTCAAGTCTGAACAGTGCAGGCGTCTTATTAGGGCGAGTTAAAGTGAATTGTTATTGCCCGAGTGCTAGGGAAAAACGTAAAGTAAATAATTCAGCTTGTTCAGAACGGGTCTAAAGTTTAGGTCCAACATAACCCACCTGCTGGATAAAGAACAGTACGGGGTCTCACAGGTGTTTCATAACGTATAAGAGATATATGGCAGAACGATCTACGACAGATTTACAGAGTACAATGTCAGAGTCACAGAGCTAGTCTTTGTTGCGCCAATTTTTCGAGCCATCGGGCCTCAAGTGTCTCGCCTCCCTCCCGAAGCACATTCCTCCAACCTGCCCTGTCCTCCACAAGCTCTTCCCAACTACCAACGTCCACGCCCAGGGCCACCAAGTCACGTTTTGCCACGTCTTTGAAGCACAGCATAGGGCGACCTCTGGGTCACGTTCCCGTGCGCAACTTGCTGTAGAGAATGTCTTTGGGAAGGCGGTCATCGGGCATCCTGCGCAAATGCCCCAGCCAGAGTATACTTCGAATCTTCAGAGTCTGAAACAGGGAGTGGCTACCAGCACGCGATAATACCTCCTCATTTGTGATTCTGTCCCACCAGTTTATCCCCATGATGCGCCGTAGGCGACGGAGATGGAAAAGATTCAGCTTCTTTCCGTGGTGGGCATATGTGGTCCAGGTTTCTGCCCCGTAAAGGAGAGTGTTCAAGATGCAACTTTCATAGATGCAGCACTTTTTGCGGGTAATCCGGTATTTGTTGCATTGTGCCATGTACGCTCCACAGGTGGCCCAAGCTCTGTCACAGGCTTTTTCACAGTGGATTCTTCATTAAAGAGTTTGTATAAAGAGTTTGTGTAGTCTCACAGTGGATTCTTAAAGAGTTTGTGTAGTTTGAGCTCCGTAAAAGTAAAGTTATGTGAAATAATCAAAGAAATAAAGTCTTACCTTCATAGAGAGTGGTCTGTGTTGTTCTCTTCGCGATTTGAGGCCGTTTTGATGTGTTTTAGCTTGACACCCTAATCACCACTGAGTCACCGTGCACAACATATGGGAAGGTAGGAAACTTCTGTTGACACATGCTCGCCAAAATCGCTCGAAAACAACACTTAAAAACTCTCCCTCGAATCAAAATTTGGCAGGACGAAAGCCAAATAGTTTTCCTTTAAGTTCACCAAAAATAATCTCACAAAGGTTGGTTTTGTTGGTTTTGTTGGTTTTGGCGCAGTTGAATATTTTTATAGAAGCTGCGCGGTATAAATTACAATTTAATAATAATAATAATAGTTTGTCGAGCAATCAGTCCAGCGAGAATTTCAAATTAGCGGCCGTTCTGAATTCTTCTAATGCGTGAAAGGAACATCTTGTGCAGCTGAGAGACCGTTAATGCGCTGTAAACCTGGACCCCAGTCAAATCTCTCTCAACGGGTCCTCCCCATAGTCTTCTAACACCAACCCTTCATACATACTAAGGTAGCCCGGATAAACTCTTGGGGTAGCAACGTAATTTACTTTCATTTGCGTGATTCTTTCTGAGGTTCCAACTGATGTGTCCACCAGGTGGTCTTTCAGCAACTTGTTTGCCACTGCAAAGCCCACTCCATGGATGTGGTGTGCACCCTTAGTTCTACCAGTCCAGAATAAGGTGTGGTGTTGTTTCGTGATCGAACCAGACCCGGCCAGTCTGGTTTCTTGTAGTGTGACTATGTCGGCAGCAAGCGTTGTGAGTTCACGGTCTAGAAGGGCAGTTTTCCGTGGAAGGCCTTGCACGCGGAGGTTTAGCTCTGGGTCATCCGTGAAGCCCGGGAAAAGATTGCAAATATTCTA